TAGGTAAATGGATGAGTGCTTACCTATTCTGTCTTGCAAATAGTTGTTGCTACTACATAGAAGGGGGATGTCATATATCATATGTTGCGCTGTTTTCTTACGCGTATGGATACGTCTGTGTCTGGCGGTAAAGGGTCGGCGCGGGGGTTCTGCCCGCCGTGCGTGAATAAAGATAATGTGTTTACCTAATGTCTTACGCCTTCTCGTGCTATGCATACTAAACATTACACAAGCTATTCAGGTAATTATTATATTTTCACTAAGAATCAGTTATAATTTATTAGATAAATTTACATTATTTGCCATGCCTACACCAAAAAGGCTATTTCTCTGATATTAATTTTTCTTTTACATTTCTCATTGCAGTATAAGTCACATTGAACATGCCGATGCAGGAAGCGTGTACAACAGTATCCGACAGACATGCATCGATAACAGTCTTCCGTTCTCATCCATTGTGTCAGCAGCCGCTGACGGTGCATCTGTCAACTTCGGGTCACGAACTGGTGTACTAACACGCATGGTGGACGATGTACCATGGTTGCTGCCAATTCACTGTCTGGCGCACAGATTGGAACTTGCACTCAAAGATGCATTTAATTCACCTATGCACCTATGCACCTATTTCTGTATGGTGAGTACCAATAAAAATATAACTATAAAAACGCATGAGTACTATCCGGTAACATAATTTTTTTCAGCGTCTGATATCAGATGAAAACAAAGATTAGAATATTTTAATTTCTGTGTTGTAGGTCATAGATGAGCTACTGATGAGAATGCACTACTTCTACAAAAAATCGGCCAAGCGATTCCGTGAATTGAAGACGCTTGGTCAACACAGCAACATTAATGTTTTTAAGCCACCAAAGTCAACCGGGACGCGTTGGATAGACCTTTGCAGACAAGCACTGCTGGCCATTATTCGAAATCATCCGATCATCGTCATGCAGATGGAAGACATGGCATCTGGTTTGCGAAGTGATGTTAAGGGAGATGACGTTGCCAGGTATAAAGGCTATCTGAAGAACTTGAAAGCAGCAAAGTTCATTCTCTACTGCAACATGTATTTGGACATTGTTTGTAAGTTGGCCATTCTGTCGAAATCGTTGCAGGGAGATGAAAAGTCAGTTCCGAGGGTACTTCTCTACATCGAGACCGCATTGGACGAGATCAAGGAGTTGACAGCGACAGATGGCCCTAATCTCAACAAGTGCAGATCCGAGGGTGATGGTGACGTAGAATTCGATGGTGTCGCATTTGAAAATGATCGCTGTGTGATCATTGATGCGATTGTGCATGCCATAAATCTACGGTTCGACAACTTTGTCAACAGTGACTTGATCAAGGCCATGTCCTTCATTGATCCATCAAACTGGCCAGATGATAGTGAGACATTGAAGGACTATGGCAATGATGATATAGATCGCCTAGTGGATCACTTCCGTGTTCCACTGGAAACGAACAACTGTGACACGTCGGTGATCCAGTCAGAGTGGCGTCGCCTTAAAAAGGACATTAGGCGACATCATAGCGAACTCAAGTGCCATAAACTATGGCAGACTGTTATTGTCAACAAAGCCGAACAGTATTCCAACATTCTTCATATTGTCCGGATTGTTCTTACTATCCCAATCTCCACAGCCCATGTGGAACGAGTGTTTTCGTACGTTAAGCGCATATTAGGGGACTGGAGGCATAGAATGAATGTCAAGACAATGGAGGACCTTGTGCGCATATCGCTGGAAGGTGTTCCCCTCAGGGACTTTGATCCGTTCCCTGTAGTTAAACAGTGGCAGGCGTCTGGCTGTAGGAAACGTCGTCCCTACATAGCTGCCTATGGTCCTACTAGGAAAGCCACCACCACTGCGGTCGAATCATGTGAATCCTCTGGTGATTCGGGCGATTCAGCTTCTGATGGCGAGTAGAAGCTGATGCTTGTGCTAATGACTCTGTGTGACAATCACTGTGTGAGTCACTGTGCAATTTCAACAACCTGTACTGTAGCTAGTTTTTATATAATTCTTGGTAATCAGACTCTGATGTTCTTCCCACTCGACTCTGACTTCTACTCACTGTGCAATTTCTGTAGCTAGTTTATATTCTTTGTATGTTATATTTGTATACTATATTTTGTATATATATGAATAAAACCCACACTAGTAAAAATGGTACAAGAATATGGTTAAAATTGAGAGTAAAATTGGAGAGCACAACGTTTCGATCTCACTCTAGTGCTCTCCAATTTTACTCTCAATTTTAACCATATTCTTGTACCATTTTTACTAGTGTGGGTTTTATTCATTACCTAATTAGTAATAATCACCACGGTTCAGTGTGATTTTACTACTAGTATTTTGTATATATATTCTTCATATGTTTTCAATGTTCACTAAGTCACTGTGCAATTTAAATCAGAAACCTGTGTATGCTGCTGAGTCAGTCCCCACTACTGTGCAATTTAAATCAATATTTCTATGACAGATAGTCTTCAATTGTTAGATTAAATAATCTAACGATAATGTGACGTGCAGTCACATATTTTGGAACAGTCCATTTTCATAAGGGGGTAATTTTTGCACATAAAAAAGAATTCCCCTTTTTATCGATTCAAATCTCAAAGGATGAATTTTGAGAAAAAATAAAATAATTTTTTTAATTTCATGCCTTGTGAAAGAGCGATTTAAAGGTAATTTTAGGCTTAAACAACAGTGCTCGAAATAAGCGTTGTCCGGTTGTCCGAGACAACCAGAATTTGCGCCGGACAACCTAACCAGTCTGAGACATTATCCGGTGGACAATCAAGAAACCCTATCTCTAACCCTAACACAAACTCTCAACCGACTCGGCTATCTTATATACGCGTGGTACCCAAATAATCTATGG